AGCCTAATGAACACCATCTGTCATACAGTCTACTGAACCCCATCTGTCATACATCCTACTGAACCCCATCTGTCATACAGCCTTCTGAACCCCATTGTCATACATCCTACTGAACCCCATCTGTCATACAACCTACTGAACCCCGTATGTCATACAACCTACTGAACCCCATCTATCATACAACCTACTGAACCCCATTTGTCATACAACCTACTGAACCCCATCCGTCAGACAACCTACTGAACCCATCTGCCATACAGCCTACTGAACCAGATCTGTCATACAACATACTGAACTTCATCTGTCATGCCGCCTACTGAACTCCACCTATTATCCCACCTACTGAACCACATCTACCAACTATCTTGTGGACTCCCATCTCCCAGTTCTCTTGTGGGGTTTACCCCGCAGCCTTGAAATATGGGTTTGTATTCGTAATGTTCTGGATGTTTGTAATCGTTATGTTCTGGATGTTTGTAATCGTAATGTTCTGGATGTTTGTAATCGTAATGTTCTGGATGTTTGTAATCGTAATGTTCTGGATGTTTGTATTCGTAATGTTCTGGATGTTTGTATTCGTAATGTTCTGGATGTTTGTAATCGTAATGTTCTGTATGTTTGTAATCGTAATGTTCTGGATGTTTGTATTCGTAATATTCTGGATGTTTGTAATCGTAAGACAGTGGAAAATTGCAACCATATTATAGTGGATGTTTGTAATCGTAACAGTAGAAGATTGCAACCATATTATAGTGGATGTTTGTAATCGTAGGACAGTGGAAGATTGTAACCATATTATGGTCGATGTTTGTAACCGTTAGACAGTGGAAGATTGTAACCATATTATAGTGGATGTTTGTAATCGTAAGACAGTGGAAGATTGTAACCATAATATAGTGGATGTTTGTAACCGTAAGACAGTGAAAGATTGTAACCATATTATAGTGGATGTTTGTAACCGTAAGACAGTGAAAGATTGTAACCATAATATAGTGGATGTTTGTAACCGTTGGACAGTGGAAGATTGTAACCATATTATAGTGGATGTTTGTAACCGTAAGACAGTGAAAGATTGTAACCATATTATAGTGGATGTTTGTAACCGTAAGACAGTGAAAGATTGTAACCATAATATAGTGGATGTTTGTAACCGTAAGACAGTGAAAGATTGTAACCATATTATAGTGGATGTTTGTAACCGTAAGACAGTGAAAGATTGTAACCATAATATAGTGGATGTTGTAACCGTAAGACAGCGGAAGATTGTAACCATAATATAGTGGATGTTTGTAACCGTAAGACAGTGGAAGATTGTAACCATATTATAGTGGATGTTTGTAACCGTAAGACAGTGGAAGATTGTAACCATATTATAGTGGATGTTTGTAACCGTAAGACAGTGGAAGATTGTAACCATATTATAGTGGATGTTTGTAACCGTAAGACAGTGGAAGATTGTAACCATATTATAGTGGATGTTTGTAACCGTAAGACAGTGGAAGAGTGTAACCATAATATAGTGGATGTTTGTAACCGTAAGACAGTGGAAGATTGTAACCATATTATAGTGGATGTTTGTAACCGTAAGACAGTGGAAGATTGTAACCATAATATAGTGGATGTTTGTAACCGTAAGACAGTGGAAGATTGTAACCATATTTTAGCCGTCCCCTTTTCCTTCTCTTAAAGCAGCCATCATCCAAATCGATGAGTCGCTTCTGTCAGAAATGTGTCGATGTGTGGTGCTTTGTTCGTCGTGATGTTGCTGTTGTTTGACATACAGCCGAGGAAAATATGTGTACCATCTTCTGGTCTTGACACACTGGACCACTCTGTGTCTATTTTAACTGGTCTTATTGCCCCCATGTCTACCCATCTGTCTGGTGTAACGGTTGCCGTTTTAACCGTCCCCATTACTCTCATACCCACCCGATGGTCTAACGTAACTGTAACTGTTGTCTATTGTCTATTGTAACCGTCCCCATTACTCCCATGCCTTCCCATTTGTCTCGTGTAACCGTCCCCATTACTCCCATTCTTCCCATTTGTCCTCAGGTGTGTCTTGTTTTATGGCTGCCACGAGTTCGCGCCAAAATATGCAGACACTGACAGTGTAGAATGCCCACAATTCCTTACTAGAAGACAATTGTGTTGAGGCTCTCGTCTGCCATCAGTTTGGCAGATGTACCACTGGCTTCCAGACCCGTTGTTGTTTATAAAGCCAGCAGCCATCTTGTTTCTAGAAGTTTGCTTGTATTAGGCCTTCAGTGCTATAAATAGAACTTTTTTTTTTAAATAGTTGAGCGCATTTACTTCTGTCTCTTGATCTTCACTCCAAGAGTGGCCTCGCTTTTTCAGGACCACCGGAAGTCTTACACTCCATCTTCCCCTGATCGCTCTTCTGTTGTTATTATCTAAAGCTAATCTTAGCGCCCAAGAGTTTTTTCATTTCCTTAAAAAAAAAAAAAAGAAAAGAAATATGTCCGCCAGGCATTTCATCAGCTAAGATTGGGAAATGAACAAAATGTGTTCAGCGGAAACAAAATGTGATATTGACAAAGTAATATATCATTGGGAGAAGCCTGCCGATTGCTAAAGTAGTATATTTGCTGTCAAATCAATGGCATTGCTAGATCAAAATGGCTCGGACCTCATTATCACATTTGTTTGAACAAAATATTGATGCTATGCAAATCTTTAAATATTTCTCTCCAAAAATGTACCGAAATTAAAAACGTACTTTGTCTGTGCTCAGTGGGTATGAAAATATCTTCTCGCCTTTTAAATAATGATCAAGTAAAAGACCTACTAGGGGTTGCGGGGGGGGGGGGGCCCAAAAAGTACGCCACGCTATTTTTGACCATTTTACCCCCCCCCCCCCCCAACTGTCACAAATCTCGGAACACCCCCCACCCCCAAGTACGTCACACTTTCGAACAAAATTTCTTTTTAATTAACACCTAATTAAAATTTAATCTAAAACACAGTTCACTATTAAACTGTATTAAATATAAAATTTCCACTTAAAATGACTTTAATAGTAGAATAATTAAATGTCAACAATTGTCACAGTCAACACATTCAGGATATACGCATTTCATGCTATTTTGACCTAAAACTAATTCAAATGTTTCACAAAATTTTTGAAAATTATTTTCAAAGCTATTAAATTCTACTAAAAAAAAAATTAATTAGAAATAAAATGTTAAAAAAAATAAATGTGTGACGTCACACATGGCCTTATATAAATGTAAGCTTGGACTTTGACGTGAAAATGTACTTTGTATCCTTTATGGCTCTATTTTGAGGCTTTATTTTAAGACATGACAAGATGTGAATGGATAAGCTGAAGGCATTAATCCCCACTGTTTCCTTGCTATGTTATTTTGCCTGCCACTGCACTGACTTTCAATTGCTATTGACTCATGTTTTCCCCTCCCTTCCAGCTCGCCCAGTGAACAAACCAGGTAAGCCAAGTACGTGCCTTGTAACGCTTATAAGTCGTGTGTAAAACTCGGAGTCGGTATCTGCTTTCAGTGGGTAGGATTTAGCGCTTATGCTCAGTCCCGACGATAAAATGTTCGTCAAATTTCGAAACACAAATAGTGCGTTCATAAAAGTATTCTGACGAACATTTGATCGCGTGAACTGGGCATAAAACTCATTTGTAAAATATTTGGTTGTTGTTGCTTTAGTATCCAATAGAAACATGTGTACTGTTAAAATGACTCACAGTAACGGCTATAACTTTATAAATACCGTCATTATTGATAATAGTAACTGCTATAACTTTATCAACACTGCCAGCATTGATATTTTAACAAGCGATCGTTATACATTATGTAATTGTTGGATCTCCTTATATCTACTGCAATGGTTGGATTTCCTTATATATCTACTGCAACGGTTGGATCTCCTTATATCTACTGCAATGGTTGGATCTCCTTATATCTACTGCAATGGTTGGATCTCCTTACATCTACTACGATGGTTGGATCTCTTTATATCTACTGCAATGGTTGGATCTCCTTATATCTACTGCGATGTTGGATCTCCTTATATCTACTGCAATGGTTGGATCTCCTTATATCTACTGCAATGGTTGGATCTCCTTATATCTACTGCGATGTTGGATCTCCTTATATCTACTGCAATGGTTGGATCTCCTTACATCTACTACGATGGTTGGATCTCCTTATATCTACGGCAATGGTTGGATCTCCTTATATCTACTGCGATGTTGGATCTCCTTACATTTACTACGATGGTTGGATCTCCTTATATCTACTGCAATGGTTGGATCTCCTTACATCTACTGCGATGGTTGGATCTCCTTACATCTACTGCGATGGTTGGATCTCCTTACATCTACTGCAATGGTTGGATCTCCTTATATCTACTGCAATGGTTGGATCTCCTTATATCTACTGCAATGGTTGTTCATTTAGCCAGGAACAAACTCTCCGAAATTTCAAATCATTTTAACTAAGACCATTTTATAACATTTTTAAAATTAAATAAAAGTTATTTTTTTTAGGATTTGTTATCGTTATTCTTGTGGGGGGTTTTTTTCCTGTGTTGCTTTTTCATGTAGCTCAGTTTGTATTGTATTTAGTTGTGTGATTTTCTTTTTGAATTTTTTTTTGTGTGACCCACTGTAGCATGTTTATAATTGAAACCAGAGGCGTACCGAGGGTGTCTTAAAGCGCTCCTTTTTCTTTTTTTTCAACTCTCAAACCCATTATTTTCATCAATAAAATAAAATCAAAGCACATTTTGGCGCCCCTAACTAGCTGGCCCCCGGGGACATCTGTCCCCCCCGCCCCACTCGCTACGCCTCTGATTGATACAGTTATACTGCTGCGTGTTATTAAATTGCCATAGAGTATGTTGATAGCCAGACATCCTGTAGCACCAATAAAGTATCACGCCTAAGTCTTGCTGTCATGTGCCAGATAAACACTCAAAGTACTGCCACTTAATCGTCTCCATTTATACAGCTGTGGTCCTAACTGGCAAGGAGTTTGTGGACCGGAACGAACCCATCAGGCTCAAGTGTAATGCCACGGGTGGGCCAAAGATACCTGAGGACATCGACTGGTTCAAGGATGGCACTAAGCTGGACACGAGAGGCTCACGTGACCCTAACATAGTGCTGACCAAATTCATGTCTCTAGAAGTAAGTGTTCAAGTCTCGAGTCTTTCGCTATATATTTACATATAAGATCTATGGCAGGGACAATGTGGTGGACGGGGGAACAGTGCAGCCATCACGCGAGACCACATCACTACTGGCACTTGGCACTGGCTACACAGCTAGCCAAAATATTACTTGAAGTTATATTATAAATTAGGAAGTTTTAGTGATTTGAAAATGTGTTTGGTTTAAAAAATGAAATATTTAGTCGTCCCGAGAGACTTTTTCGGGACAACGGGTACGATCGTGAAAAAACGGGACAATCCCGTGTTTACGGGACGTTTAGTCACCCTACTCTAGAAGTAAGTGTTACGTGACGCGCATGCTGAGTAGTAACCCTGGTACTGAGTAGTAACCATGGTACTGAGCAATAACCCTGGTACTGAGTGCTTAGACCTAAGGTATTGGTGACGATGATTGTAAAGTTATACCCCAAGGTCAATGGCGATTTGATGGCAAAAGTTAGCCTATTGTTGTAAATGGTCATTTTAGCCAGTGGTTATAGACCACGATAGTGTAACGGCCAGTTTAACTAGCGTTCACGGGCCATGAGAGTGTAGTAGCCGGTTTAGCCTATGGTTATAGCCCATGATAGTGTAGCGGCTAGTTTAGCCAGTGGTCAAAGACCATCATAGTGTAGCTGTTTAGCCAGTGGTCAAAGACCATGATAGTATAGCTGTTTAGCCAGTGGTCAAAGATCCTGATAGTGTAGTAGGCGGTTTAGCATGTGGTTATAGCCCATGATAGTGTAGCGGCTAGTTTAGCCAGTGGTCAAAGACCATGATAGTATAGCTGTTTAGCCAGTGGTCAAAGACCATGATAGTGTATCGGCCAGTTATAAAAGGCAACGGCTACCACAGACTACGGTCATTGCATCCTACATAGTCAAAATGCTTTTCTCACTATTATTACTTTGGTGGTTGTTGTGTTTTTCTTAAAGAATACCATTTACGCGTGTCAGTGAGTTCGAAACCATAACTTCCATGTCCGGTCCATGGGTAATGTAAATGTTTCAGTTGTGGATTAGAGTCGTGTACTTACGTTTTGACATATGAGTTGTTGTTTTTTATGGCGTCTTCATGGCGGTGTTTGGTTTTTTTTAGAAAGAAGTTTCTCTCTCCGTTGATGAGTGCGTCGACGACATAGACTAAATATTTGAGAGCTAAGGAAATGTGTCTTTTTTTTCTAATGAAATGTTTTCTAATGAAGTGTTTTCTAATGAAGTGTTTTTTTATACCTGCCGCAGGACCAAGCGTTGATCAGTGAACTGTTCATTGAGCACACTGACACGGACGATAGTGGCACTTACATCTGTCGTAGCTCAGACCGAGAGATTGGCAGCCTCAAGGTCACGGTCCTTGTAGGTGAGTAACTCAGCTCTCCATAGAACTGCTATATAACTGATTGTCCATAGGGGGTGGCGATATGACTCAATGTGGTTTTATTATGGAGGATGGAAATATGACTATTATGATTTTAGTATGGGGCATGGAAATATGACTATTATGATTTTAGTATGGGGCATGGAAATATGACTATTATGATTTTAGTATGGGGCATGGAAATATGACTATTATGATTTTATTATGGGGCATGGAAATATGACTATTATGATTTTAGTATGGAGGATGGAAATATGACTATTATGATTTTATTATGGGGCATGGAAATATGACTATTATGATTTTATTATGGGGCATGGAAATATGACTATTATGATTTTATTATGGGGCATGGAAATATGACTATTATGATTTTATTATGGGGATGGGGAAACAGGGCATGTGAGCAAATATTAGATATATGTAGGATTTCTAGGGACTGTGGTTGAGAGTGTCGTTGCAGGGAATGGGCAAAATCTCTATTGTCACAAGGATCTGTCACCTCTGACACTGGAGTCCTTTAAAACCGATTTAAAGGCACTTCTATTTCGCAAACACCTTCTGGGATGATGATGTCTACCATATTTTCCAGTTAAGGCATATTGGCTGTGTTGCTTATGGTTAAAATGGGTAGAAAAACTTTGACTTGGTCTGCTTGTAATTAGTTTTTGTAGTGTTACGTTTGTTTTAAATGTGGTAAATTATAGATTAATATGGTTGACTTTGTACCGCGCTTCGAGCCTGTGGGTTTGAAGCGTTTTTTTCAAATAAAGTTTATAATTATTATTATTATTATTATTTCTTTTTGGCCTCATTGCATCGTACCTATTGGGAACAGTTCTAGTGTGTAACTCGGGGGGGGGGGAGACTGTCCTTGTGGGCGACTGCTAAATTAGGTTTAACCATAACTGATATATTACTAGTGAAGATTACAAAATTTAAGAAATATATTATTATTTTTATTCTTAGGAGTGACAGGGAATATCATAAGGAATTCTCCGCGCGAATTAATCAAGAGAAAGGATCTAAGGGAAATAACTAATTGAACAAAATGTATCTAATAGTTATTTCCCTTCACATCAAAAAAAAAAAAAGAATGAAAAAAGTATTCATTTTAAAAAGAAAAGAAAATCATGTAATGTCATTAGCTGTCCTCAGAATTCATGCTTCGTCAAAAAATGATAGTAAAATTTTGACAACCTGAATTTAGTATGTAAAAAATAATAAATCATTTTAGTCCAAAAAAAAAAAGGTTAGTTGCCACCATACAGAATTTAGTAAAGCAACATTATGCATTTCCACCCCACGTCCTGGAACCGACTTCCAACAAAAGCCACCCGTCATTGAGTGTAGATTCAAAAATATACATATAAAGCAGATGGCCTTATTACTACTAGTAGCCCAAATATACTTAAACAAAATATTGTAACTGTGGCGATATGTCATTAGGTTCATGAAGAATAATTACCGTGATTATTATTTCAAATAATTTTTTTATCAATCTAATCATTTTTTCCCCTTTATTTTCATGTGGCGAAAAGCAGCAGACACAACAAATGTCAAGAGAGGTCAGTATCAGCAATTAGTTAATCAACAGGGGAAATTGTGTATGACTTTTAACAATACATTGTGTTGGTTGTGAGAAAATGTGGGTTATTGTGGTTCAATAGAATGTGGGTCATGTGGTTCAATAGAATGTGGGTTGTTGTGGTTCAATAGAATGTGGGTTGTTGTGGTTCTGTAGAATGTGGGTTGTTGTGGTTCTGTAGAATGTGAGGTTTTGTGGTTCAATAGAATGTGGGTTGTTGTGGTTCAATAGAATGTGGGTTGTTGTGGTTCTGTAGAATGTGGGGTTTTGTGGTTCAATAAAATGTGGGTTGTTGTGGTTCAATAGAATGTGGGTTGTTGTGGTTCTGTAGAATGTGGGTTGTTGTGGTTCTCTAGAATGTGGGCCATGTGGTTCAATAGAATGTGGGTTGTTGTGGTTCTATAGAATGTGGGTTGTTGTGGTTCTATAGAATGTGGGTTGTTGTGGTTCTATAGAATGTGGGTTGTTGTGGTTCAATAGAATGTGGGTT